TCCAAGGACCACGAGAAGGAAAATGTGAGGCGAATAAAGGAAATTCAGAAGAAGTGCAAGGAGAAAGAGCGAGCCCAAGAGCACAGCCAGCCCAAGCCTGTGAAAGCTCTCTGGAAATCCCAGAAATATGAAAACGTGGAGTCAAAGGTGAAAGCCAGACTGCAGGTCAGTACCCACTGAGCTCTGTCCTGGCCTGGGATGCGGTTCAAAAAAAAAATGGTGGAGGTGGGGGAGTCCCAGAACCTGTGGGTCTGGGGGCAGATGTGGCAGTGGGACTGTGTGCTGAGCAAGCACGTGTGGCTTAGGTCCGGAGAGCAATTGTGGTGATCCTGTCTGACCAAGTACAGTCAAAAGTAGAGGAAAATCTCATCACACCCCCTGCCTGGAGGCTCCTGCTTGGCCTTTCGATTGGGAGGGATCTCCAGGTGGTTCCTGGGGGTGTGGAGCAGCCCTCACAGCCACATTCCCTGGTAGGGGTGCCTCCAGCTGGCTTTGCAGCTAAACCAACGTTTGGGGCAACACTTGTCTGGGGTTTGCGCCAGAAGGCTCTGATACTCTGCCCCATGGATCACGGTCCGCAGAGGTAGGTCTATAGGCTGTGTCAAATGTCAGTCCAGCTCTTTCCACCCATGGACCCACAGTGGGCTGTATATCTCCAAATTCCTCTTCAAGCAATTGTTCTGGTGAATAACCAGTGTGCAGTGGGGGGCACACAGGCATCTCTGGGCAGTCAAGGTGGAGGCCTCGTAGATTGGCACAACCTGCAGGAGTGTACGTACCTCCTGTCCTCTGTACCCCTGCTTGTGGGAGAAGGGATGCGGGGCCGTGCCTTGTGTCCTCAGGCTTTTTCAACAGCTGAAATGTTCACGGCTTCTGTTCCAAGCGGCTTGTCTGGCTTTGTAAAGGTTTTGGATTGCTTTTGACTTCTTTCTTTTTCTTTCTCTGGGATATTTTTTTCTCCTCTGGTGGGTTCCTGGTGTTTAAATGGTGCCTCTGTCGAAAGGTTTTGCTAAATGCATCGAGGCGACTGCCTTGGTAAAGTGTCCCTGTTTGTACAGAAAGTGAAGTTAAGGCCCACTGGGAGTGGGGAGGAAAGCTCCATCACTATCTTTGGGTGGATCCATTGTCATCAGTGTGATCCTGGAAGACCACTGTCATCCTGGTGACCTCCGTGCTCGGTTGGCCTCTTCCTTCATCCAGAAACAGGCACCGCGACACCTATGGACATGGTGGGTTCCTGCTGCACGACAGCAAGCAGAGGGTTGTTGTGCCCACCCTCGTCATGGTGACCTGGAGGAGAGGCCTTGGGACTCCCTTCCAGCTCAGCCTCATGTGGGAGAAGCTTCTTGAGGCCGGGGAAGTACACGGTGGGGGCAAGCTGGGTGATGCCTCGAGCACTGCCACCCATGCCAGCCTTGCCTTGGTGGTCCCGTGCTGAGCTGGAGCCTTCAAGTTCTTCCTCATCTCTGTGTTGCTTCTCACTGGCCTGTGGCCTTTGGGCCAACTTTTGACACTAAAATTATGTATATAGATAACAACTGCAAAAATTGGCAAGATGATTTCCAAGCCAGTGGTTCCAAATGCTGTGTGCCTTCTTCCTGGCGTGCCACCAACCTCTCTGACGTCCGTGACTCTTCCATGCATGGGAGCAAACCCACGTGTGCTTTAGGAACACAAACCTACGCTCTTGTTTGACAAATCCTCTGTGTTCGAGGAAGATTGAGATCATTTCTTCTTTTGTTTTGGGGAAAGGGGGTGTTCTGCGTGGTGTGTTACTTGTGCTCTGCAGGTTCCTCCAGAGAGAGGTGGCAGGAGGCCCTGGTGCTGACTCATGTTGCTTTAACAGTTGCTGTGGCTCTCCTGGAGCTGGGGTGTTCCCTCTGAAGGATCTCCATCTTCTGTGGAGCTGCTGCTGCTGCTCAGAGTTTAAGCAGATTCTGTTAGGTCTTGATGTCTAACGTGGAGTTTCTTTTCTCTCAGCTGTCCCCAAGGCTGTTCATTGGAGCAGCTGCCTTGAAAAGGGCTCTGACATGATTCTTGGGTCTCCCATGGAGGGGCACGGGGCACGCTGTGCTCTGCTAGCACGCTCCTGAGGTCACAGACTTCTTTGCCTTCTAACCGACTGCACTAGCCAAAGGCATTTCTCATTAACTTACCGAAGAGGTCTGGGTCTCCTGGCTCCTGTTGAAAAAAGACTGATCAGCTGTGGAGCAGCCCAGGTGGTGCTGAGAGCACCGCGCACCCTGGTCCTTACACCAGAATTACTGATCATAGAATCACAGAATCACAGAAGGGTTTGGGTTGGAAGGGACCTTAAAGCCCACCCAGTGCCACCCCCTGCCATGGGCAGGGACACCTCCCACTAGCCCAGGTTGCCCAAAGCCTCATCCAGCCTGGCCCTGAACCCCTCCAGGGATGGGGCACTGGGGATGATATCACTGCCCTGTCCCACCTTCAGCCTTCAGGTCTGCCAGGCGAAGTGGACCAGGCCACAAGGAATGTCCCTCGAGGGGACTGCAGGGCAGCTGGGACCTGGGGGACATGTGAAGATCTGGAGGCTGCCCTGTGCGGTTCCTGGTACTTCTGAGAGCAGAGCAGTGCCCTGGTTGTATTTATTGTAAGGTGACAGGGTCGTTCCAGTTTTCAGGGTTTGTTTGGGGGCAGTCTTGTCACAGACTGTCTGTTAGCCATCAAGCAGTGTCGCCGTGTGCTAACCACAGCCTTTGAAGATGCCTCCCAAATGCAATTTCACCCTCCCAAAACTACCAGCCTCCCTCGCTCTCTGCTCCTCTTCCTGTCTAGAACAGGATAACCACAGATTTGGGGTGCAGCACTTGAGAACAGCATCTAATTTGTGTCACCTTCATGCCTACTTGTGTCATTTCATCTTGTGGGGCTCTGCAACATGCTCTGGATTATGGAGGGTGGGATGGCTTCTTCTGGGCATTCTCGTTCTCTGGTGTTGCCAACAAGGGAGAGTGGCACGTGTCCCTGGACTTTCAGCATGCTTACTCCATGCTGCCGTTTGCTGCTTTCACGGGAAGATGTCTGCTTGGTTTTTTGGGGTTTTTTTTTTCAGTGTTTCTTTACCAAGCTCAGTTGCCAGGTCTGGATTTGTTGCTGTCAGCTGTCTGGCCTGTGCTGGCTGTGTACAGATTGCCTTCCCCCAACAATTTCTGCCAAGTCACAGCAGAAAGAGCGTGCTGTCATCTGCCTGCTTGTGGTTGAGCTTGTGGTTGGCCATCCAAACTTTGTTGGGTGGGTTTCTCTTTGCTCCAGCCTCCCTCCACTAATGGATCTTTTCTTGCCTTTCCCAGGAGAGCTCCCCACCTCCAAATCCAGAAGCTCTGAAATTCCTGAGGGCGTATTCCCGCTGTGGCCCCGGGATCAAGCCGTGCAGACTGCTCTCCCCAAAGCCTCCCAGAACGAAAGCAGGAGCCGACACAAAGGCTCCAGAGGCAGCGGGTGCTGCTGAAACCAAGGTGAGTTGGACACTAACTGCATCCATCCTGGGGGTTTCTGGCACTTATCCGTTGCTCCTGTTTGAACTCTTCATGTGTTCTTCTGAAGGGTTGGGTCAGGTGGGCTACATGAGATCTGTAAATACTGTTTCTGGCCGAGGGGAAGGAACAGGGCCTTGGTCACAGGGGTGGTGAGCTGGGTGTTCGAGGATTGCTAATGCTACCGTCTGGCTTCATTGTTGCTCAGAGTTAAAGAGATTGTGAAGTTCCCTTTGAAAATCCCACCTTCTCGCTGTAGAAGTGCCAGTGATCTCAAATCTGCTCTTCGAGAGCTTTGCAGGAGGTCTTGGGGATTTGGAGACTGCTCCCACCTTAACCAAAGGAACTGTGGCTTCTGGGCATTAGACAAAAATGGGGGAAATGGGTGTGCTTTTTAGGAAGGAGAGCTAAATCAGTATTAACATTTAAACCTTTCAAGTAGTCTTGTCTGGGAGGTCCTGAACTGCTCCATGCCTCCTGTCTTCATTCCTTGGCTAGTGTGGGGTTGTTTGTTGGTTCCCAAATCCCCTGGAGTGACTTAATTTAGACAGGACATAAACTCCTAAGGACGAAAACCAAGAAAATAAAACTTTAAACTCAAACCCAACAACCTTCTCCCCTGTCTTGCCCCTCAGAGGAGCTGTGACAGAGGGTGTTGTCTCTGGGGAGATGCCCCCAAGTTCTAGCCACGTTCCTCCTCTGCCAGGGGCTCTCCTGTGTTTCCTGGTCTGGCAAGGGCCTGACCAGTTTTTCCTCCGACCTTCTGCCTGCTCTGATGGGCTCAAAACACAGCAGTAGGAGCCACGTGGACCATGTCAAGCCTGGTTCTTCCTGTCCTTCTGGCTTTGAGGGCATGGGGTCAGCTTGGGGACCTCAAAAAAGTGGGGCCTGGCTTTTAGTGGCAGGCAAGCCATGGCACCCCAGGGGTTTGGCCCTGGTTTTTTCTCAAAACAGGGCCAGAGCTCCTGCCTGTCCCTCTGACTCCCGAGACAGGCTGGGCTGAGGGTATGCCCGTTCCTTTGCGGCACGCCTGCAATTTGGTATCTTGTGTGGGTGCCTCTTTGCTGTGTCCCTCGTGGGGACAAGGGCAGCTGTCCTTGTGCATGGGCCAGAAAAGCCCCTGCTGCCTCCCTCTCTCTTCTTCCAGATGCAGGTGGAGGGCAAGAGCATTGACTTCATTAAGCACAACGCCCGCAACGCCAAGCGGGCCCTGCTGCGGCGCTCCCAGTCCCTGCAGACGCTGGCTGAGCTGCTGGAGCAGAAGCAGCGGGAGCAGGAGGAGTACAACGCCAAGCAGAAGGGCCACGTCCCCCAGTAGTACGTACGCTCCGCTCTGGTTCTCGAGACTTTCTGTCCCAAGCCCGCTTCCCTTCACCACGTCTCCCAGCTTCTGCGTAGAAAGACGGGGTTAGGGACGGAGGTGAGCTGTGCCATTTACTGTGCCCTGGGGAATAAACGCAATCCCTCCTGGTTTCTTGATTTAATGAGCATCCTGTGGCCGGTGGGACTGGGCTCAGAAGGAATTCTGTCTTCTCTTCCCTTGCTTGCTGGTGTACAATGATGCTGACGCGGGGATGCTCTGTGTGCTCTGAGAAATGTGCTCCTGCCCCTTCCTAAGCCTTGCTCCACATGGTGTAGCTTCAAAAGGTCTGGTTTTGGAGGGGCAGAATTGCTTGCTCTGCCTTGCAAGTGTTCACCCTGCCTTGGACTCGGAAACTTAGAAACATCCAGGTAGTGATTTCCATTTTGGGGTTCTGAGTGGCTTCTGTGGCCCCCATCAGCTCCTGGGTGACCCTGTGGTGCCAGTCCTGTCCCTGCTGCTCCCTGCCAGCATCTCTGGCTGGGAGCTGCTTTGCCCAGCTCCGTTGGGTGACAGATGGTTTTGAGAGCATCCAGCAGCCTGGGGCGGAAGCAAGGAGCAGAAGCCCTTGTCTCCACGGAGCTTGTATTGGCCTCAGCGTGTGTTTGCTGCCCTTCGGTGCACGTGGGGCATGTTTGCTAGCCCCCACGTGCGGGCTGAACCTGGGTGCATCCCTCCGCGGCCAGGGCATGTCCCAGCGGGGTGGGTCTCTGTGGTCCCCACGCAGTGCCACGGAGACCAGCAGGGTTTGGAGGCCTCGACTCCTGGCCTCCGCCTGCGTCCCTGGGCCAGCCCTCCTGCCAGCTGTGCTGACGCGGGGTCCCGTTTGCCTTCCCAGCCTGCTGGAGAGGAAGGAGCTGTGGCGCAGGCAGATGGAGGAGCGGCTGCGAAACCTGCCAGACCCCAGCATGCCACCTGGTCACGCCATGATGCCGGAGGGGCAGCGGCTGGAGACCCTTGGCAACCTGAAGCAGAGTAAGAGGAAAAGAAATGGGGATTCCCGTTCAGAAAAACAGGTGATCCTAACTAGGATCAGGGACAGAGCTGGGGCGCAGCTCCCTGCCACTTGGAGAATTGCCTGGAGTAAGGTGTGTAGCTGCGATGTGAGCTGTGTGCGTGGAAAGAGCCATCTCCTTCGGGTTGGTGGGACCTGCAGGTTAGCAGGCTGGCTCTCTGGAGCAGCCTTGGCCCGGTAGACCTGATGTTGGGGTTCCTATTGCTCTTCAAACAATAGAAAGATTTTGGTTGGAAGGGACCTTCAGAGGTCTCTAGTCCCCCAGCCCTTGGTTCTGGAGCTGGAGCAGGTCACTCAGGTCCTCATCCAGCTGAGCTTGGAATAGAAGGATGGGATTCTAAGTCCTTGTTCCAGTGCTGCCACCATTTTCATGACTGAGAATGAGGTCGTACTGTTCGTAAAAGCATGGATTTCCTTGCTTTTCCACTTACACAACTTGGGTTTTTTGGGGTTTTTTGGGTTTTTTACAGGTCAGGAGCAGCTGATAAAGGAGCTGGTGATGCTGCCAGTGCGTGCTGACACTCTCAGCATGCAGAAGAGGCGGGAAGAGCTGGAGAGGAAGCTCTCCCAGATAGAAGAGGCCATCAGGATTTTCTCAAAGCCCAAGGTCTTCATCAAGCTGGACTCCTGAGCCGGTGGGGCTGGGTGGGTTGTGCTGCTCCCTGTGAACATCCTTCATCGCTGGGAAGGGATGATCATCATTTTGTGAGGGAAGGAGAGGAAGACAAGTTCAGGACCCTGCACCCACACAGAGTGTCCAGTGTGCAGCTGGCATCTCTTGCTCCCCCTCCCATGCTGTGTCTTGTCCTCAGAAAAGGGAAGGAGACGCCCTGATACACTCTCCACACTGTGGTCTGGAGAACAGTTGTCCCTGTGCTGCCTGGCTTCTCAGAGATGAGCTCTCTGCTCTGGATCCATGGCATCACCTCTTATTTTCCCATTTTTTCCCACCTGTAGAAGCTGGTAGGAGATCTCCCGTGCTGCTGTCTGTGGTGGTCCTTGTCCCTCCCGTTCTCCTGAGCTGGGCCATGGTCATGGCTCATTCTGGGCACCTGCAGACTTCTCTGCACAAAAATCTCGTGCTATACATCTGCCAGCTGTGCCCTGGGCCTGAGCACTGACCCATCCTGCGCACGCAGCAGGTGCCTCTGCACCCTCCGACCTGCTGGCTGGGCTCAGCAGCTCGGGGACAGCTTGGGGACAACAAAGAGACGCAGAGCTTTAGTCCCTCCTGCCCAGGGAAGAGCTGGACTGGCTGCAGGGGGATCTGGCAGGATGTCTGCAGAAGCCTTTGTTGTCTGGGGGGCAGGAAGTGTTCCGTTAGTCTTGTTTCCCTCTTTCAGTGTGTGTGCAGCTCCTGGTGGGCTCAGCAGGGCCTGAGGAGTGGTGATGGGCAGCAGAAACCAGCAGCATTGACGCGGTGAAGGCAGGGGTAGAGCCGTGTGTCCTGGTCCCACCTTCTGCAGAAGCCCACAGTGGCCAGAGAGGTTCGGTTTCCCAGCCCTGGGGTGCTGGGTGTGGTGGTGGACGCGGAGTGGAGGATGTGTAAAGTCCTGGCAGATGTCAGGCTGCAGGCTGGCGGGACAAGGCTGGGCAGATGCCATTGGGTGGGTGAGCTCGCTGCCTCCTTACCTTCAGATGCCCCCCAGGGATCTGTGCAGACCTTTGCAGGGATCCTGCCGCAGGAAGTGTAGAAAGATTTAAGCTGGAAGGGATTTCTGGAGGGGCGCGGTCCACCTCCTGCTCGGGGCAAGGCCAGCTCCATAGCCTGGGGCTTTGTCCTGCTGAGTTAGGAAAATCTCCGAGGATGGGTTTGCTGCCGCCACCACCTCGCTGGCGTTCTCTCCCCTGGCTGTGCCACCCTCAGAACACTTTTTCCCCTGAAGTCACATTAAAATTTCTCTTGTGGCAGCTTGTGTTGCCCCATCTCCTTTCGCTGCACGGGGTGGGGATGCTGCGCACGGTTGCCCCAAGCAAGCACCTTGTTGCATGGGTTTGCTCCATCCTGGGCAGGATTTTGCGGGGTGGAGATGTTGCAGAGCACTCCAGCCCTGCTGCGGCACCTGACGCTCTGCGGGGCGCTGGGACATCGGGGGCTGACAGACAGTCCTCCCAGCAGCCAGCGAAGCTTTTAACACTCCAGGGCTGGAGGAGATGAGATGCCAACAGGAAAATCACCCCACGCTCCCCTGGGGCCACCCTCGGGGCGAATGCCGCAGCCAGGCTGAGCCGGCTGGATGAGGGGGGCCGGGGGCCGTAGGTACCAGCCCCCATGCACCTCCCTGCCCTGAACAAATCTGGACGAACCAGCCCTGCTGCTGCTTTGCTCTCCTGGCTGGCTGCGCCCCGGCCACACTCTGTGGGTGCCACCTGGCTTGGGAGCCCTTTGGGAGTCTCGGGGGTCAGGAAAGGCTGGGGGTGAGCAGCTCTGCCACCGGCCAGGGTGCACCCTT